CTCTCGGTCAGCTTTCCTCTGCAAGGTTGCTGCATGGCTGTCTAAAATGTTTGCAATCTGGAATCAGATAAGCCAAACGTCATCTTATCACACTGGTAAAAGAGATTTATTTAAAAAGCTCACAAGCAGCCTTTGCATAGCATTTTACCCTTTGACTGGGGAACTGGCAGAGGACGGAGGTGATGTTGCTCGCGTACTGAGCCATGACTTTGCGGATATCTTTCTCAACAGTAGGTGGAATACGGCCAGCCACGCTGGTCATGATCTCTTGAAGTTCCAAAAGCGGCAGTGAGGGGTCCCTTAGAGTCTTCATCAGGGTAGCAACCCACTCTTTCAGCTGTAGGTTTACATGCAAACATGCTCGTATACATCAATAAAACGCTTTTGTGTCTTGTAATGAGAAATCTGCAGTGGCAGAAGGGCTGATATATACCTTTGTGCTAAAGTAGGGTTCTTCAAGGCAGTACCCATCCATGACATTAACCAGGTTTTCAAGAACACTGTGGAACACCTGGTGAAGCTTCTCCCCAGCCATGGGAAGTGGCTGCTGAGGCGGTAGCACCGCTGTGTTGAGTTCCACCTGTGAAGGAAGAGGAAAGAAAATGAGGGGAAGTTTTCACAGCAATTTCAATAACAGGAAGAACTTACACTGAAGTAAAAGAAAATAAAATAAATAGATACAGACCAAATATATAAACAGGACACCAAAGTATTGCTAGAATTTTTTGCAAAAAATTCGAAATGAAGATTTTGATGTGCTCTGGAATAACCCACCCTGTGTATACTGCTGGGATCATCCAGATCCATACGTGCCACCACACAGCCAGGCTCCAGAACCGCTCCCGGTCGCTTGACAAAGTGGATACAGCCAGACTGCTGCGCAGTCAACGTCATCACCATCTTCATCACCTGAATAATAAGGACAAGTAAGCAAAACGAACCGGCACAAATGGCATAAGTCACAAAATCCTATCCACCGTATATTCTGTTACCTCAATCTCTGCATAAGTTTCCCCTGCAAAAATATGATCTCCATCCTCAACCATGTATTGCAGCAGTTTGCCAGCAGAGGGCGAGCGTAGGACCGTGGGGTCATTCTCCTTCTCAAAAACACAGGTCTTGTTGCCAACGGTGATGCGAAACCTGAAAGGTTAAAATAGTGCCGGTAATGAGTAATCAATTAAACCAGAAGTAAAAAAAACAAAAAAAAAACCCCGCAGTGGTAGCCTTGCCTGTCCACTTCTTCCTTCATGTAGGTTATATGGCTGCTGCCATTGTAGCACAGCAGGAGGCCGCCATCGTTCAAACGGTGGACGTCTATTTCGATGTGCGAGCCATTCATAATAACGACATACGTTGTTGGGGACTGGCGAGCCACCTGCAGGAAACAGCAGTGATAATCTATTCATTAAAAAAGGTAAGAGGCTGAATTTAAAAAAAACAAAGCAGGAAAGGAACAAAACAGATACCTTCAGACAGAATTTGACTCCTTCATATATTAGGTCCACATTGACAGAGTTGAGCAGACTGTTTGCAGGCAGTACCTGACCTCTACAGATGCAGCAGATAATGTTTATAAGAGTCAATTGCATAAAGACACGGGAAGAGCGCTGCAGTGAAACATTAACGACAAGTGCCTACTGACCTTTCCAGGGAATGTAGATAGTCAGACATGCTCTTTCTGAAGATAGCATCTGCAACAAGCAAAGCCCCACAGACAACACCAAGCAGGGTATTTGGTCTCTCTGCCTGCAGAAAGAACACGTGGCTTTGTGAATTAAAGGAATTATACACAAGTTCAATGGTCCATATCTGTCTTCAGTCTCTTACCTGCACTTTCTCTGCAATGAGATGATCCAGCCATCCGGTATCAATGTCATTGTTTCTGAAGCTTTCGGTTTCAAGTAATTTAATGAGGTATTCGACCGTCGTCCGAAAGTCACCTCTGATGGACAGCTCTTTCATAGCCACCACCATGTTTCTGGAAAATACAGAAAACCCAAATACATACACTAACAATCTAACACCAATTAAGGCTGACAAATTTAAGACAACTGTACTGCTGGCAAAAGCATGCTGCATCTTCTAACAGAGTACCGCTTTATCTGGAATCAGGTAAAGTGGTACTCTTTGCCGCACAGCCTACAAGTAGCTGATAATAGGAAAAAATACAATTAAAATAAAATAAAGGAGCTTACGAAATGGCTTCTTCACGGTTCTCGCCCCATGAAAAACAGTGTCCAAACTGGGAATCTGCAAATTCGTGTAGGCCACCAGTCGCGCCCACACTGAAATAACCCCAGACGTTCTTACTGCTGCGGAAGTTCAGCTCCTGCACGGTGCCCGAACTGGGCTTGAACCCCTGTGGGTGAGTGAGTGTGAATCAGTGGTTTAAAAAACATGAACAGTACATAACAGTGTCATGTTTCCTGGTTAATGAAGCTGAAGTCCACCTCATCTGGGTTCTCACTGGTGATCCGTGCAGCTATGACGTGGCCTCTCGGACGAGGGACGCAATCTGGAGACTCAAAGTTAATAATGGTGTCACCCCAGGGACTTTCTCCATAAAGCACACGTATGTCCTTAATTCTGTGAAGTGGGATGCCCATTGCAATCTGTGAGAGATTAAGCAAATATTTAGATGGGAGAATCTGATCAGCATCTGTATGATCAATAAGAACAAATTTCTCATTTTGTTCCTTGGGTATAATTATGTGTCTGAGCCTCCTAACAGAGGTTTACCTGAAGTTGAGCAGCTGGCAAGTTTACATCTGCGATCATCTCTGTACAAGGATGTTCCACCTGCAGGCGAGGATTCAGCTCCAGAAAATGGAAACTTCCATCTTCAGAGTAGAGATATTCCACAGTACCTGCGCTCACATAGCCTACGATCTTGGCCAGTCGCACAGCACACTAGGCCACAAAGGAAATAACGAGGAGACAATATGTCTCTAAGAGCAGACTTTAGTGTGTTAGCATTAGAATACAAGGACATAAACTTACCCGCTCCATTCGCTCTAATGTTGAAGCGGGAGCTATGGTGGCAGGAGCCTCTTCGATTATCTTCTGGTGCCTCCTCTGGATGGAGCAGTCTCGTCCAAAAAGAGAGATGGCATTTCCATACATGTCCCCCAGTATCTGGACCTCCAGGTGTCTCGCATGCTGAGCCAGCTGCATGATGAAGATGGGTGAGCCGGGCACCTCCGTCTGGACCTGCACTCAGAATAACACATGAAGTGTAAAGTCTTCTTGTTCCTCGACAATCACAGCCTATCCAATCACAGTTTATATAGTATAGAGCTGTAATCTGGAAGTCTATCAAACTGAGTACTGTGCCATTTTATTTTATGACCATGCAAATTAACAACTGAGTGTGGACATCCTGGCTGCTAAGAAAATTAAAAGAAACTGGGTAAATTAGACATTAGTTTGTAAAACGTAACTGCACAAACCTGTCTAAAGAAACCTGGGAAATCATCAGAGCACTCAACTTTCCGAATACCCTTTCCACCTCCACCCTCAGAGGCCTTGATTACAACCGGATAACCAATTTTCTCAGCTTCCTGAAGAGAAAAGAAAAATACGCACCAGACAACTTATAACCGAAAGTATGTACTAAAGATTTCGATTAAAACTAATTAATTTGTAGATATTAATATTGTTGATTTGTTACTATGCTTACTGCTATCCCCTCGTCTACATCGTGAACACAGCCCTGTTTGTAGACCTCTGGAGGAACATTGATGACATTGCCCTCTCTTTGGTCCTCTTCAGCCCAGTCCAGTCTCAGATCTGGAGCACAAGCACACACACTAGGTAAGAACAAAGTGGTCCCAAGTGAGTATGTACTACATAATAGAGTCTATGCCATGTGCAAAATAGCACATTACAAGTTTAATGCATGTAACAGTCATGCGGCCCACTGTTTTTGGGGTTTAACAATCAGTTCTTTGAGGTTTGTGGGCATTTGTTCACATTTTTCCTTTAAGGACCCGCCGCAGTATATCAGTTCGGCTAAGGTCTGGACTTTGACTCTGACTCTGGTATACAAAGTAGTTCATGACAGACTGAGTGACTACAATGTGCACAGGTCTGTGCCACCACCGTGCTTTACAGTTGTTATTAGGTGTTTATGCCGATATGCTGTGTTTGGATTTCACCAATCACAACGCGCTGCATCAGGGTCAAACATCTCCACTTTGGTCTCGTCTGTCCGAAGGACATTTCGTTTGTTCGGTAGCAGCTCTGCAAACCTATGCCGTGCTGCCACGTTTTGTTTGTTTTTTCACAGGGGAGAGGCTTTTTCCTGGTAACTCTTTCAGGCAGGCCATGCCTGTTCAGTCTTTTTCTACTTCCACTGTCAAGAACTTTAACATTTAACGTGCCAACTGAGGCCTGTGGAGTTTGTAACCACATCTTAATCCGGTGCGCAAATTTCAGTCTACTCCAGGGAAGATTGACCAATGTTTTGAATGTTTTCTACTTATGATTAATCACTGTAAAATGATGGACTTTAACTTGTGTGAAAACTGATTTATAACCACTCTCAGATTTATGGGCAACAACAATCGCTTCTCTGAGATCATTGCTGATCTCTTTACTCCTCAGCATTGTGTTGCTGAACTTCTGCTTTTGTAAAGATGTTCATATCTGCTGATGACCAGTTAATCGAGCACATTCAATTAGCATCACCCGGCTACTACTTACCCTCTTAATTCCTATTGAAGCAGTAAAGTTGTACATAGCTTTCACAGGACTGCATAGAGCACAGTGATAACTCTCTCACACCTGCTTAGAGCTGCTTTGTTTATGGCGGAGTTAGTGCAGAGAGGAAAAGCATCACCTGATCCACTCCACGGTAGTGTGGGAATGTCGGCACTCTGGGCCACAATGGAAGAAGCCACTTTATCCCCCAAAGCCCACATGGCTTTACTGGATGGCCCTGAGAGAAACAGCAGAGGTCAATTTATCATGAGAAGCAGCACAAAGCTTTCTAACTAAATGAAAGAAACTGCTCTTTTACCCAAAAATGAAATGCCCGCTTTACTCAGGAGCTCAGGCAGTTTGGGATTTTCAGATGCATGACCCCAACCAGCCCAGACAGCCTGTAAAGAGCAATGTGCACAGAAACAGACTGTTGTTTATTTACAGGCAGAGAAAGTAACAACTGAATACAGCAGGTGGGCCCGTGCCAAAAAGAACCGCTGTTTAAATAAACGGTGAGTAGCACCTCCACTTGAATCCTTTTTGCAATGTCAACTATCAGCTCCACGTTGGCATAGTTGTTATTGTTGGTGCCACCGGGTACAGGCACATAGTGGTCGGCCATTTTAATATATTCTGCAGGGAAACAGGAAGCAAGGCTCAGAACTTCACAGTGAGAAAAGCATTTCTACTGGTTCATCACATACGTTTTAGGCGATGACTGATAACAATTACCTGCATTAGCTTTTAAGTCTTCAGGAGTTACCATGACAACAAAGCGGATGGTCCTCTCATTGCGAAACATTTCATAGGACCAGCGGCGGATAGAGCGCATACATTTGACTGCAGCGATGCCATTATTAGCGATCAGCACCTGTAAGAGGGCCCAACATAAATATCGCTCAGAAAAATGTAGATAAATTAGAAATTCAAGAAGGGTTTCGTTCTTACTTTTTCTATGACACGGCTGCCACCGAATCTTGTGACAAACTCTGCAGGAGAGGCCACGGTAAAGTCCCTGTGCAGATCCATCTTTCTGTGTTCACGTCCTTTTTTCACCAAGTGAGGACCAGACATGCTAGGCCTGCATTGGAAAGTTCACAGTTAGTCTTGACCCCTCCAAAAAGTGAACTGCATGAAGGCAACAAGCAACTGAATTTAAACTGAAAATCAAAACCCAAAGTCTAGAATCAGTCTCTCTGCAACAGGCACGGGCAGCCTGTGGAGCAGCCCAGTTTTTATACCCTTAAATCCAAGAGTCTGCGCACAAAACTCAGAACAGTAACCTGAACACAGTAATAGCTGCAGATGTTGCAATGAATTTACCACTCTTGACGGCCCCTTTTATCAGATGTTCACCACAGCTAAGCCAATAAATGTACATGTGTTGTCATCATGGTGTAATCATGCACACTTTACCTTTAGTCCAATTTCCTGCTCATTATATACACACAGCATAATTCCTATCGCCTGGATGACTGAGAACCTACCTACAGTGACATGTTAAAATGTAGTGTGCTTAAAATGTTTTTTTCCTTTATACCCCATGAACAGTAGTGAAAACACCCCCGATGACTACAATCTGGAACAGTACTGGAGAGATGAAGCACCGTTCTTCTAAAAACTGCCCTTTATTTGGCGTTTTGATTTTGGCAGTGCACCGTCTCACATGTCAGAGCAGCGCAGACGTATAGCTGGAGGTAATGGCTCAGAATAATCATGACCCAAAATAATCAGTCATTCATAAATAAATAAATAGTCAAATCAAATACAGACTCTTGACAATCTTGGCTAATAAACATTGTGTAATTTGTTGAAAACAAAATGTCTTAAGGGTCAGTGGAAACCAAAATCATCAATCTTTTGAGACCCGGCTTCAAAAATCAGAGTTAAGAGTTAGCAGTTACGTTGTCTTTTTAGCGCTATATGTATATATATATGAGTCATTTTGAACAAGTGCAGCCGTGGATCCTCCACCTCTGCCCACAGACTGCCATGCAGTAGTGGTGTAAGGACAATGAAATGTTTGTCTCTGTTATCACTTTTCACATAACAATAATAAATCAACTACAGATAAATATGAAATAAATGCAAATAAGTTAAACTGAGCTGTACTTATTTTAAGTGATATCACACCACATGAATCCCACCACACACACACACCGAGCAACGATAAGAAACAGGCGAAGCTTTTTCCCATGTTTGGAAATACATAACTGGACTGCACAGCACCAGAACATTTGGACATTTCACGCACATACCATCGTTATCGTCATCTGTCCGCCGGGGTGCCGTTCAGTCCGGGGTTTCGCTGTTTCTTTTTAAACCACCCCCGGGGAGATACGCCCTTGCCCCATCAGTGAAGCCACACAGTAAAGCTGCAGCGCAGCAGCAGTTTGTGCGCCTGTGCTGATATGTGAACTTTACACTTCACTCCTGTTCACTCGGGGAAATACAGTCTGTTATTGTGCTGCTTTCTGATAACGCTTTCCATTTCGGTATCAACCACTTGCTGACTTTTTTTCCGGGACAAGAGGGTTTAGTTTAACCCGATACGCCTACTGCGTTGCACAAACAGTGATAATCTAATCATAACCACGACTTGGGGATTACTAGAAAAATCGGCGGCTTGTCGCAGTGACAGGCTTGCGGCAATAATGACTGCTTGATTGTTACCGTTTCCTTATATGCGTGCAAGCTGCGCACAGCCCGTAAACTACAGCGGCCCTTCCTGTTCACAAACGAGCCTACGAAAGGTGCTGCAGCGGCACTAGTTTCAACACAGAGTAGTTCTGTGTTTAGTTTCCACATACCAGAGTATCACATTACCGAAAACTGCAGCAGCCCTCTGCATTATCGGACTTACCTCTGGAGATATGGGAATAAGCTGATACTCGGGTAGTCGTTTCCGTCGAAGGAATACATCGCGCTGTGTTACTACTAGGATTAAAAAAAGAGTTTTTAAAACCAAAACAAAGGAGACTTCCACAAAGTGCTTCCTCTTGTCCGCTTCCTCCCTTCTCCCCTCCCACATGTGCAGCCGCATATCTGCAAATAAAGTCCCCTGAGCCAAATCGCTGGCTGCTCTTTGGAAACAAAGCGAGCAGTGCTCCACTAAATCCATTATTGCAAATGTTTATTGTTGGGCATCAAAGGGCTAAAAACGGTCGCGCACGACAAGAGCAGACTGATTTTGTTTGTTTGTTTTTAAGTGCAGTAACAACAAAGTATAGGAAGACGCTTCGAAACGTCTCACTTTTCTCTTCTTCGCCGTGTAAACCACAATATACCCACTAACACGCATAAATCCAGGCCGATGGAGCTCTAGTAGGTTTTTCTTGGCTCAAGTGTTTTCCATCTAACGTTCATACACATTCACGCCCCAGTGGGCGCATCAGAGAATAACTTAACCAAAGATATTTAGCATCGACTCCTCTACCTGTTGAGCTACAGCCAGTCTAATAAATATCCATGTATTTATTGTTTTTATGCAATAAATACATGGATAAATAAACAAAAATAAACAAAACAGTTTTCTAATTGAACAAAACTAACAAAATCTTTGTCAGCTAGTGGCCATCTCATGTCTAGAACTTCTGGATATTAATCAGGAAACGGTTTCTAACTTTGAGATTTGCTGCAGCTTGTTTACTCTTCAAACTCCTGGGTTGGCTTCAGGGTATGTTTTGGGTCATCGCCTATCTGTGCTGTGAACATGAAGTTCAGTGGCATTCATAGCCACCCATTTACACACCTTTTATTTATTACTCACACTCACACTCCAGTGGTGATGGATAGATTCTAATTTGGGGTTCAGTGTCTTGCCCAACGACACGCAGGGGCTGAAAGGAGGCAGAGATTGAACCACCGACCTTCCAATTGGAAAATGACTTGCTCTATTTCCTGAGCTGCATTTTTCTGGCTTCCGTATTTTTCCCCATCCCTCTGATATTTATATTGATTAATCTGTGTAAGGAATAATCATCCAGAGACTGAAGATATTTGGCAAAGATTAATCTGACCTTTCTATTCACCAGGTGGATGTATGGTTTGCACCCTATGGTGGGTCTCTACATCTCTGTTTGCTCAAGTCTTCTTCTGAAAGTAGACTTGAATAAGTATCACTTGGATGCCTTTTAGAGAGTCTTCTTGATTGGTTTGGATGGAAAGGATCCTGTGAGCCTCCACCACCGCCACTGGTGTCATGTTTAACCTGCAGAGTTCACCAGAGCCTCCTTATTTTGTCAGAATGTAGCTTAATGATCCCGCTCTTTTCTCTTGCATGTTTTACATGCACTGAATGTTCCTTTGACCACATGTTGTGGGTCCAAGGAAAAAGAAAATATAGAAAATAAAACAAATATTGACCTTTTAACTGGTTCATTTATGAAAAATGAGGAAATAGCAGGCACCGGCCACGCTTTTGAGGTCATTTTCCAATTTCAAAAGAGAGGGGGCTACAGATTAGACATCTTTGACAGTTAAACCCTTCATTTAATATGCATATGAATACCCTCAAACTAAAGCTGAGGGTCTGCAGTTTAAGCCCATGTTTATTATAGAGTATAAGAGTAACCCGAATATGCTTTTGGTAAATAGTTATAATAAAAAACTGTTTAAACAGCAAATAAAGAAAGAAAGAAAATTAATAATAAAAAGAAGAATATTTAAACTACAATAAAGACCATAAGTCAATTCAGCTGCTCGTGTCAAGCTAGTTACTTACCTGTGTGCACTGAAGGAATCCTTGTACCCTCCATGATATCACAAACCACCCGTTGGTATGAAAGTAATTCTTAATTTACCGATATCGCAGAGGAACAAGAAGAAAACTAACATTTGTTGACAATTTCAAAGCGCTTGCTGTGCTCTGACCTCGACTAATGCCACCACCGCTTGTCAAAGTCATTGGCTGAGGCTCTTGTTCCATTAATAGAGCCAAGATATTTGGCATGTGACAATAACACAGGTCAGCTCGTGCAGCTTGTGGAGACAGCGCGCTACCGATGCGATAATGTGTGCCCAATTTTTTGGGGGAATGTTCCTCTAGACCAGGGGTGGGCAATCTCAGTCCACGAGGGCCGGTGTCCCTGCAGGCTTTAGATCTCACCTTGGGTCAACACACCTGAATCACATGATTAGCTCGTTACCAGGCCTCTGGAGAACTTCAGGACATGTTGAGGAGCTAATTTTGCCATTTAAATCTGCTGTGTTGGTTCGAGGACACATCTAAAACCTGCAGGGACACCGGCCCTCGTGGACTGAGATTGCCCACCCCTGATCTAGACCTAAAAAACAATCCAGTTTACATTATGCCCTCATTATAGTGCGAGTGTATAAATGGTGTAAGTGAACAGCTTGTTTGTTTATAACATGACAGAGCAGTAAAAACACGCCCCAACCTATATAGCTGACATTCATTTACTTAAAGCCCTTACTTGATGACCGTTGAGCTGGGCTGTGGTACTACAGAAGGCGCCTGTGGAGGGGAAGATTTGATGGTGGAGGTCGGTGGCTGAGATGCACCGCTTGGAGGTTTCGTGACCAGAGGTTCTTCGTCCGAAGAGTTATCCTCTGATGCTCCAAGAATAAACTTCAGGCGCTCCCTCGCCTTAGGTCCTGAGCTCAGCATTGGTGGGACGCTCTTAGAAGGTTTCTGGGTGGTCGGCAGCACCGTTGGTTGTTTTGAATTTGCCTCCATGGAGCCCTGCAGAGCATCAGAGTCCACGATTCTGCCACAAAGACCCGCAAATGCACTGGCAGCCTGAGGCACGTTATGTTCAGCATGTTGTGAGGCAGCTGCAACTGTTGACAGAGGATCCATGCCTGCATCAGGGCTGCGTGCAGTGGGCACGTCCTCCTCGGCTGCAGAAGGAAGTTCCTCCCCTTTCACGGGCATTGTTACGGTCTTACTATTTATCCTCCACAGCAGCAGAACCCACAGAATAAATCCCCAAAGTGCAAACTCCAGCATTCACAGACATCCTCCTGAAACTGCAACAGGAATAAGGCGGATGTCAAAACTAATTTGAGTGAACAGAAACATTTTTTCATCAAATGTGAGCCAAGTTAACAGTATACCAACTGTTTTTTTGACACTTGGAATGGATTTTCTGTAAGTGCATTAAAAACTGGAGTCTGAACTATGAATGTGAAAAGTAGTTTAGTGTCAGACACCACCTGGTGGCTGAAAGCTGCAGCTGTAGTTTTGGTCTAAACAAAAGGGTCATTCCATCTCAAATCATCTCATTTCTTGATCATGATCCATCTTTGAGTTGCCAGAAATCTTGGACATGTATGAAAATTGCCTGTGAATTCCTATCCTAGATTTTTTTAAAGCCCATCTTTCAGGCCTTGTTTGGCCCCACACTGTAATTAAAGCCTTCAGTGAAGTCCCATATTTGAATATACATTAATAAAACAAACTTAAGTCTGCAAAAGACAACTAAAGACAATGTCTGAATGGTCTATAGCTGTATTTGACAATAATGAAAAATAAAATATGTAAATGCTGGAGTTTATTAACTCTGAGATAATAATTTTGATAAATATGTGCAGGATTTTAATTATCAAAAACCACGTGCACTTTGTCCTGGACGAGTCTGATAATTCATGTTAAGAATAAAATTTATTAAGACCCATTAAAAAGACAACAAGTACTGATATAATCTTCTCTGAACATGCAAATAAATGCAGCAAATCAATTAAGATTCATTAAGAGGAATGAAAGATGAATTCTCGGTTCTTATGAAACATTGTTGCATTTTTTTAAAGGGCTGCTTTCATGGTTTATTTTTTTGGTTTTTTCCCCATTTTTTTAGTGTAACTTTCCCAAATTACAGATCCTGACTAATCTTTAATGGTAGGAAAGGCCACTATCAGGGTATAAAGGTTTGTGATACATAATGCAAAATTTTGAATTTGCAATTGTTTTTTGGAAAATATGGTCAAGTAAAAGGTGATTTGAGATGAAATGACCCCAAAGAAATATGGAAAAAGGACATTTCTAGATTTTTAAAATGGGATAGACTCTTTTAACTTGGCATTTCAGGGCAAATGATGACTACAGGGAGTGCAGAATTATTAGGCAAATGAGTATTTTGTCCACATCATCCTCTTCATGCATGTTGTCTTACTCCAAGCTGTATAGGCTCGAAAGCCTACTACCAATTAAGCATATTAGGTGATGTGCATCTCTGTAATGAGAAGGGGTGTGGTCTAATGACATCAACACCCTATATCAGGTGTGCATAATTATTAGGCAACGTCCTTTCCTTTGGCAAAATGGGTCAAAAGAAGGACTTGACAGGCTCAGAAAAGTCAAAAATAGTGAGATATCTTGCAGAGGGATGCAGCAGTCTCAAAATTGCAAAGCTTCTGAAGCGTGATCATCGAACAATCAAGCGTTTCATTCAAAATAGTCAACAGGGTCGCAAGAAGCGTGTGGAAAAACCAAGGCGCAAAATAACTGCCCATGAACTGAGAAAAGTCAAGCGTGCAGCTGCCAAGATGCCACTTGCCACCAGTTTGGCCATATTTCAGAGCTGCAACATCACTGGAGTGCCCAAAAGCACAAGGTGTGCAATACTCAGAGACATGGCCAAGGTAAGAAAGGCTGAAAGACGACCACCACTGAACAAGACACACAAGCTGAAACGTCAAGACTGGGCCAAGAAATATCTCAAGACTGGTTTTTCTAAGGTTTTATGGACTGATGAAATGAGAGTGAGTCTTGATGGGCCAGATGGATGGGCCCGTGGCTGGATTGGTAAAGGGCAGAGAGCTCCAGTCCGACTCAGACGCCAGCAAGGTGGAGGTGGAGTACTGGTTTGGGCTGGTATCATCAAAGATGAGCTTGTGGGGCCTTTTCGGGTTGAGGATGGAGTCAAGCTCAACTCCCAGTCCTACTGCCAGTTTCTGGAAGACACCTTCTTCAAGCAGTGGTACAGGAAGAAGTCTGCATCCTTCAAGAAAAACATGATTTTCATGCAGGACAATGCTCCATCACACGCGTCCAAGTACTCCACAGCGTGGCTGGCAAGAAAGGGTATAAAAGAAGAAAAACTAATGACATGGCCTCCTTGTTCACCTGATCTGAACCCCATTGAGAACCTGTGGTCCATCATCAAATGTGAGATTTACAAGGAGGGAAAACAGTACACCTCTCTGAACAGTGTCTGGGAGGCTGTGGTTGCTGCTGCACGCAATGTTGATGGTGAACAGATCAAAACACTGACAGAATCCATGGATGGCAGGCTTTTGAGTGTCCTTGCAAAGAAAGGTGGCTATATTGGTCGCTGATTTGTTTTTGTTTTGTTTTTGAATGTCAGAAATGTATATTTAATGTAAGTAATAACTGAAGTTTTACTTGTTGGTACACCATCTATCTTAACCAAATCCCACAGCTTTTCCATTAACGTTGAAAATTCTCCCACCCTTCCCCCCTCAGGTTAAGAGTTTGGGTGTCATACTTGATAATACTCTTTCATTCCAGTCTCACATTAATTACATAACACGGTCTGCTTACTTCCATTTACGTAATATTCACCGACTCCGTCCCTTCCTTACTCCCCATGCTGCTGCCATCCTTGTCCATAGTCTTATTACATCCCGTATTGATTACTGTAATTCCCTCCTATTTGGTCTCCCTAAAAGGTCCCTTCATAAACTCCAACTTCTTCAAAATTCTGCAGCTCGGGTCATAACTTGCACTCCGTTAAGTGCTCATATTACCCCAGTTCTTCAGCAGCTTCACTGGTTGCCCATAGAAGCCAGGATAAATTTTAAAATCTTACTTCTTGCATACAAGTGATCTCATAAGTCTGCTCCTTATTTTGTTGACCTGCTCCATTCACCATGTTTCCCCACTCTAGATCATCATCTGCCTATTCATCTTACATGTTCCGTCATCCACCTTATCACTATGGGGAACAGAGTTTAGTCGTCTCTGTCTCTCGGCTCTGGAAATCTTTCCTCCTGATAAGAATATTGACTCCCTCTCCGTATTTAGACACGTCAAACACTCTTGTTTTAAACTGTCTTATTCACTTAATGCCTATTTTTATCTGTTGTCGACCTGTTTTGTAATTTTAACTTATTTTATGGTATTTTGATTGGACTTTATTTTTTTGTTTTCTTCTTTCTGATGCATGGCTTTTGAAGGTGCCTTGAAGAGGTCTAATATGGCGCCTATTTTAATGTTTGAATGTCATTATATGTATATTTTATTGTGAATGTGGAGATGTTATATTGGTTTCACTGGTAAAAATAAATAATTGAAATGGGTATATATTTGTTTTTTGTTAAGTTGCCTAATAATTATGCACAGTAATAGTCACCTGCACACACAGATATCCCCCTAAAATAGCTAAAACTAAAAACTACTTCCAAAAACATTCAGCTTTGATATTAATGAGTTTTTTTGGGTTCATTGAGAACATGGTTGTTGTTCAATAATAAAATTATTCCTCATAAATACAACTTGCCTAATAATTCTGCACTCCCTGTATAAAAACAACTAGAAAACAATGAAGTAATTGCTTTTTTTCAGCCATTATGTTTTAATTGGTCAACTGTTCATATACTTAATGTTTAAGACTCTTTTTTTTTTTTTTTTTTTAAAGATCACTATTAAATATTTGTCTTTCTCCTTCTTGGAAAAAGCACAATTCTTTTGATGTCCAAACTTAATGAATCCCCATAAGAAATAAACTCCTTAAAGCATATTAAAATACATCATGACTATAAGAAAAACTGAAATACTAAGTAGTGTTTGTCTCTGTGTACTGTTTAAGTTACTGATTTGAAGGTCAGAGGTCAGATACTCTCTCAGGACAGCAACACTGAAGTTCTTACTTTCATATATTAAGAAAATTATTCAGTAAATTCAGTCAAACAGAAGCAAGAGAAGTAATTACGATCTACACAGTCACGTGTATACTTTAGATGATTAAGTCCTATGTATACACACGAGTGTGTTATCTATGACAGCTGGACCTGGCTGCAGGCTACATTTCCCAGCGAGAGTCCTGTAAACAGCCTGCCTGTAACAGCTGACATGGAGAGCATGTGCTGCTTCATGTGGGGTAAAGGTCAGCACTGAGGGAATGAAAGGAAGGGAAGTTCAGGTGAAGGAGGATGGAAAGAAAAAAAACATCCATAAAAAACAGCATCAATAGCAGGAACACTTGAACACATCCAAATACAGAATATACATTACACACATGTTCTTTGTCCCATTGAAAGATATCATTGGGTTTTTTGGTTTTGTTTTGTTTTTTTAAATAAACAACAATAAGGATTTATTAGCATTCATTTTGTATAATAGAAGCACAAAATTTGTGAATTTATCCTTTGGAGCAAATTTAAAGCCGACATAAAAAAAAAAGGGAAAAGGCTAAACCGTCACTTTCCTCAAGAAACAAGATCTGAAGCAATGTATTTATGAAATACTTTTACTTTTTATCTGTATTTTTCTAAAAATATATCCTGATACCATATAGCAGATGAATGATTTATTTCTCTTGTGCTTTTCTTTAAAGAACAGGTTTATTCTCACAGGACTTGCTGTTCTAATTAAAAGTTAAGCACATAACAATTTTTCTAGGAGTGTCACTTTTAAAAAGGTTATTAATGCGTCCAACTTCTGGCGTGAACGTTTTACCTCGTAAACATACAAATATCTGTGAACTCGAACAGAAAAGTTGAACCAAGCACAACAACTGATTCTGCCTGACAAAAGTTAAATCAGCGCACTGATCGGATCTTTTCCAGAGTTCAGTCTGGAGAAAAACGAGACTGTCTTTTAAATTAAAGGTAACGCGTAAATCAAAACATGCCATTTTCACTCACCTGCACAAACTCAGAAACCGGGCAGCTCTGCTCCCGGGTTGTTGATGGCGTTGTTTCACACAGCCAGAGAGCTACAGTACCAGGCTAACCGATTTAAACCCACTGATTATTTCCCACACCTCCACACCACTCGGAACTTATCATGAATTAAAACACATCCGTCATTATCTTATTAATGTGACACAAACCCCAGAATCCCTCCAAACGCTACCGCTGCCAAGGTCTTTATGATTCTAGACAGTGCCTCGCCAGCAGCTACAAATGTCAAAGTCACCTACCACTACCTCCACTGCTCAGCGGATTGTGAGTGGGGAGGGGGTCTCTCCCAGAGTTAAGGGTTCCGCCAAAGATCGTGTATACTCAAGATGTTCCTGCTCGATAGAAAAGCAGTAAGCATCTATATTTCCGATCAGCGGAAAAATGTTTGGTTCCTCGGTCTTCTGTTGAGTTCATGAACAATGGGGAAAAGGTGTACTTGAACTTTAAGACCGTTCAGCTCATATTAAAGTCAATGTATCAACAAGCACCTTTTTTTTTCTCTTCAAATTAATGGAATTTGATTGATATGATGCCCACCTTTGTTTTTATTTCCTGTTACTTCTGTATTATGTGTATGATGAACTCTTCCAAGAATTGTCATCCTCCCAAACTGACTCCAAGAGCATGCAGAACAGTTAAGGTCAGTGATCATGATTCAATAATAAGAAAGACTAGGCAAAAATGGCACCGATGAGAGACTCCCGGGGCAAAACCCACTTCTGAACAAAAAGGACACAAAAACACAGCTTCCCTTCCCAGAGATTTGTGGACTGATGAGACAAAAGCTGAACTTTTTGAGTCCCATTAAACCTGCTGTAAAACTAACACAGCATCTCATAAAAAGAACACTCAGTTAAACGTGGTGGTGGCAGTATGAACAGCTTTTTGCTTCAGGTCCTGGAAGACTTGCAGTGATTGGGGAATCCATGAATTTTATTCTCTACCAGAAAGGCCTGCAGGAGAATGTCTGGTCATCAGATCATGCCCTGAAGCTCAGGGTGGACTTGGATTATGCAGCAGGACAATAATCGAAAACACACCAGCAAGTACACAACTGAATGGTTAGAAACAAAGAAACAATTTTTTTTTTTAACTAAATGAAGTTTTTGGAGAGACAGTGTGTAACCGAGGACAAGGGATGAGTAAACGGGGCAAAGAAATAAATTGATCATTTATTTATTACATGAGTTAGACATACAAATTCTCAGTCATTTCCAGACAGGACTTACAACACATCCTGCTTATATCCCAGCTGCACATGAGACTTACCACACAAACTGTGCGAAAATAACAACACTGCAACCCGTCACACCCCGCTTACCGACACTTCAATCGTGGCACACACTGCAAACAATTCGGGTGTCAGCGCAGCTGGGAATCAGTGCTATGCATGGCCTGCGATCTGGGAGAAAAAGGGAAGTGGCACAAACAATTAAACAAAAAAAAAAAAAGGGAGGTTAGTCCGCCCTTACACAACTTACTCTCAATCAATAACCGCCTTTACGGCTGGACGGACTAACCAAAACAAAATTACAAATCAATCAAAAGAACGAAAAAAGGACAGCAGAGACAGCACAGCTGAAAAACAAACAACATTATCAATTAAAATATTACCCAATAAAATATCAATTTTATGAAACCATTCAAAATCATGAAGCTAAAACAAACACTCAATATACCTACAATATTGATCAGTTTCCCTGCGCGCAGTCGATCTAGGGCTTGATCAATTCTTCTATTAAAATTCGTGGTCACACTAAAAAAGTCCAATGACACATTAAAAATAGGCACATGCAATAGCAAACGATCCAAACAAAAATGGCAAAAGTCTCTTACCGACAGTATACCCACTCGCACCTGAGTGAATTAATTGCCTCTGGTTTTTTCCACAGAAGAGCGCTGACTTCACCCCACACACCCACTACCTTTTCACAGCTCTTCAGCCAATCACCTGGCAGAGAGCAACAAACTGCCAGGTGACACTTGTTACACGTGCCAAAGTCCAGACTCAAATCTGATTGAGATCCTTTCGCACAGGGAAGGCTGGATTTTACCAGCAAGCAGTAGTAACTTACATTTGTTGCAAATCACCCAAAAAAACTTTTACTTTTTAAGCAGTTCCATATTGCATAATGTAACTTAAAATTATTAAATCACTTAAAAGTGATTTAGTGTAACTCAATTACACTAAATCACGTAAACACTTTGCTTTCTAACGTATTGTTTTTATTTTGTTGTTGTTTTGTTTTTTAAAGGCAGATCTATGAGCACCAACGTTACAATGAACATGACATTCAACCTAATTAGATACGTCTCAACACCACCGTGAGGGGCTCATCTCTCATTAACGATCTTTGTACTTCCGGTTCTCAGCTCCGTCCTCTCGCGGCAACTGCACGAACGCGCCAAAATAGGAAAACAGCAGGCGAGTCTGTGACAGGCGCAGACAAATCCAGCAGACAAAACTTTCTATTAAAGCGGCGTGTCTTCAAATGCGGCTTCACGCACACGTTTAGCTGTTTTATTTTAGTGTTTTGTACCCGGAACATCGCGATAGAAGATGGTTCTGCAGAACAGTGGACGCTACAAAGCGGACCGAGGACCCAGTGGGGATCCGGAAAACCAGTAAGTCCCAGCAGCTCTAACAGATCAAACGCTTCATAACACTTTCTTATTCAGAATATTAATGGATGACCGAGGACTGTCAGAATTTAGTGTCACTGTTGTGTGCGTTTGAACCAGGGATGATGGATCCTCCTTATCGGCCCTCAAGCGGCTGGAGCGCAGTCAGTTCACCGACGAGATGGACGCTCGCTTCGGATTCGACAGGATGAAGGAGCCGGGAGAGAAAACGGGCTGGCTGATCAACATGCACCCCGTGAGTCCTCGCAGTGCGACAGTTTTTCCTTTCTGTCTGCTGCAAAATAAACACTTAACATTTATTTTTGATGCTCTGCATTTGTAGGCAGAGATCCTGGATGAAGACAAGAGGATGATCAGCGCGGTGGACTATTATTTTATACAGGAGGATGGAAGCAGGTTCAAGGTGTGTTTGGGGGGAAAGCAGAGCGCTGTAACGCAGCTTATTAAATGTCCTGCATTTTACATTTTCTCTCATGTGTTCTGTCTGTGCTGTAGGTGTCTCTGCCCTTCAAGCCATACTTTTACATTGCGACGAAAAAAGTAAGTTAGTGACTGTGATTATGCCAAGTGAACATTTTTTAAAAAAAAGTAAAAAATAACAAAATGTGTATGTCCAGAACTGCGAGAGAGAAGTCATCTCATATTTATCTAAGAAGTTCCAAGGAAAGGTGGCAAAGCTCGAAATTCTCCCAAAAGAGGACCTGGACCTGGTGAGAGTTTCAACTGACTTTAAGTTATCTAATAAATAAATAGTGAGTAAATAAATAAGTCAAATAAATGTAGATAAATAAATATTTTCTATATTTATTTACACAGAATTAATGAAGGAATAGTTGGCGGATAATTAATGGATGATTTTTGACAAGAGCACCACCACAACACATTTTCACTCATTTAAAAATCTAATCTGTTTATGTATGCTCACCAGACACTTCATTAGATATGCCTCACTAGTACTGGGTTGGAAGGCCGGATGGATCCATGCTTTCATTTTGCTTATGTCAGATTCTGACTGAACCATCCAAATGTGGCATCAACGAGGTGTACTGCCACGTACTGGATATTTTCCCTTTTTTTTGGACTATTCTGTGTAAACTCTAGAGATGTTTGTGAAGGAAAAACTCAGCAGATCAGCAGTTTGTGAAATACTCAGACCAGCCCGTCAGGCATGCCACATTCAGAGTCTGTTAAATCATCTTTCCTCCACATTCTGATGCTCAGTTTAAACTTGAGCGGGCCGTCTTGACCACGTCTGCTTGTTTTTATGCATTAAGATGTTCCCGTGTGATTGGCTGATGTGTTACAGTGAGCAGTTGATTACCTGTACCTAAGAAAGTGGCCAAGTGAGTGTACGCATTTAAGAAAAATCTAAAATATATATCCCCTTTACCACTGTGGCACTCTTGTCCTTAGTATTTAGTGTCCTTAGTATCAGTGTTTTTGAAGGTATCGTGAACAGGTTGCAGTATACTACCGTATTGGCTGCTAGTGTTGACTTTGTGCAGCCACTCACATGCTGATTCTGCTGATCTGGTGTCTCCAGCCAAACCACCTTGTCGGACTGAAGAGAAACTACATCAAGCTGGCGTTCAACACCGTGGACGACCTCGTGAAGGTCAAGCGTGAGATTGCCCCGGCGGTACGTAAAAACAGAGAGAGGGAGCAGTCCAACGATGCCTACACCTCAATGTTGTCAAGGTATCACCAAACCTTCGTTAGATTCCTTTGATGTTCCGCTTGAACGTTTCCAGCTTTATAATAACCCCTGGACACCTTTTTGTCCTCTTAGTGCGCTATCAGGTGGCAACGTGACCTCAGTGGATGAAGACGGGATGTCAAAGAGTATTTCAGATCAGTTAGACAACATAGTGGACATGAGAGAGTATGACGTGCCTTACCATGTGCGTGTGTCCATTGACCTGAAGATCCACGTGGTAAGATCAACTATATCTGGTTCCAGTGTTTTCCAGTGAGGTGTTCCTCGACACCTGTGCACCTGTGCGTGCTCTTCTTATCTTAACTGTCTTTATTTTTCAGGCTCACTGGTACAATGTTCGATACAGAGGCAGCGCTTACCCGCCAGAGATTGTACGGAGAGACGATCTTGTGGAGCGACCGGTATCAGGATTTTGTTGTTTTAAGCCTTCCATCATTCGTTCGGAGTTATACTGAAGTTTTGATTTATGTCGGGGCTTTTCTGTGAAACGTTGTTTCCCTGCAGGACCCTGTCGTTTTGGCGTTTGACATCGAGACCACCAAGCTTCCGCTGAAATTCCCAGACGCAGAGACGGATCAAATTATGATGATCTCCTACATGATAGATGGACAGGTAAGGTTCATTTGCGTTTGATTTTTCAAGTTATTGTTACGTTCCTGTTTGTAGTATCATCTAACAGTCCTTGTGTTTTCACGTAGGGGTTTCTGATCACAAACCGAGAGATCGTCTCTGAGAACATTGAGGATTTTGAGTTTACCCCCAAACCTGAGTATGAAGGGCCGTTCACTGTTTTTAATGAGGACAATGAGGTATGTAGCCACTAACAATAAAGCATTGGTGAATAATAGGCTGCTGTGTGTTTCTGTCAGTTTAATAACACGCTGTAACGGTTGCAGGCAGCTCTCATTCAGAGGTGGTTTGATCACGTTCAAGAAACAAAGCCAAATATCTTTGTGACCTACAATGGAGACTTCTTTGATTGGTAAGCCTATTTTCTGTTTCTGTAAAAGCCAGTTACTTACTTTAAAGGTGAAGTGGGTAGAATACATTACAGGCAGTGGCTGCAATGAACACTTTTTATTATTTTTAAGTCCTTGGTTTCACTTCAGCTCGAGCAAAAGTGGCCCAAGCACCAGTTCTTTGTGACAATAGGCAGCTACGACATAATGATGAAGCTGTTAATAGTGAATTATTTAAACTGTTAAAAAGCTGATTATATTAGGTATTCAATATTCTTATTCTGTTTGTTATGCTGATTACTTTTCTTGATCCTCCACCTCTCCTCATACTGTTTCTCTCTAGGCCTTTCATTGAGGTTCGGGCTGCCCTCCATGGACTGAGCATGCACAGGGAGATCGGTTTCCAGAAAGATAACCAGGGAGAGTACAAGGCCAGTCAGGCCATCCACATGGATTGTTTAAGGTGTGCAAAAGTTTTACACTCTTAAAATGATAAGCATACACTTTACCTCCACCAAGGAGGTTATGTTTTTGGTAACATTTGCATGCATCTCTTTCTGTCTGTAGCTTTATAACTTGGATACGATGATTCTTGTGTAATGTCTGTTGTCAACACATAGAAAGCATTTTATAAAGATTTAAAATCTCATGTTTAACCACATTTTAACACATATAATCAAAGTAAATGTTATATGTAATGTTGGTTTTTCATATATCCAACTTCAAACCTCCTTATCCTGTATCAGGTGGGTAAAGAGAGACAGCTACTTGCCGGTGGGAAGCCACAATCTGAAGGCAGCAGCGAAGGCCAAACTGGGTTATGACCCCGTGGAGCTCGACCCAGAAGAAATGTGCCGCATGGCAACCGAGGAGCCGCAGGTGCAGAACTAAACTCCCGTCTTTATAAAATAAAAACCGGAATCATTTTTAACGGGATGTTAACTTTCCACTTACTGTCTTTTCTCTTTCTTCCTGTCAGACTCTAGCAACCTACTCTGTGTCAGATGCCGTGGCCACATATTACCTGTACATGAAATATGTCCACCCCTTCATCTTCGCTCTGTGTACCATCATCCCCATGGAGCCCGATGAGGTTCGTCTATGGCGTGCTTTGCAAAAGATTAAGTAGAGTTCTCTTCTTCTTTTTTTTTAAAGTGCATTTTACTAATTACCAGTCTCTCTTTTCTTGCGTTGTTCACCTGTTTCAGGTGCTGCGTAAAGGTTCGGGGACGCTGTGTGAAGCTTTACTTATGGTGCAGGCCTTCCACGCCAACATCATCTTCCCCAACAAGCAGGAGCAGATCTTCAACAAACTGACAGACGACGGCCACGTCCTGGACTCCGAGACTTACGTGGGCGGTCACGTGGAGGCGCTGGAGTCTGGAGTGTTTCGGAGTGACATCCCGTGCCGTTTCAAAATGGTACAGTCTGCTCACTTCTCAGAGCTCACTCTGCATCAGCACTTGTTTGTTTTTGTTTTGTTTTTTAAACGTCGCTCTCATTTTTGATGTTGCAACAGAACCCGGCTGCATTTGACTTCCTGCTGCAAAGAGTTGAGAGAACGATGCGTCATGCCATCGAGGAAGAGGAGAAAATCCCTCTGGAGCAAGTCACTAACTTTACCGAGGTTTGTGGAGGAGGGGAGTTGCCTCTGTCTTTTTTAATAAGTTACTCAAGTTTTTTTCTGAGCTTGAAATTCAGAATTAACGCCGGTATTTTCTCAGGTTTGTGACGAAATTAAGAAAAAGCTGACGTCCCTCAAGGAGGTTCCAAACAGGATTGAATGTCCCCTCATCTACCATCTGGACGTTGGGGCGATGTACCCCAATATTATTCTCACCAACCGCCTTCAGGTTATTACTTTATTAATCAAAAAATGCTCACAATCACATCTAGAAAAGCATTAAATTTAGTCTTTATCTTTTAATTTTGTAGCCATCTGCTATGGTTGATGAGGCCACGTGCGCTGCCTGTGACTTCAACAAGCCTGGTGCCACGTGTCAGAGGAGGATGACCTGGCAATGGAGAGGCGAAATCAGTAAGTTATCTTTGGATATTTGTACTCTGCTTTTAAGCGATTTGGGGGGGAAAACGAAACCTTTGTCTCTCGCTGTCTCTCTCTGCAGTGCCCGCCAGCCGCAGTGAGTTTCACCGCATCCAGCAGCAACTTGAGTCTGAGAAGTTCCCGCCACTGTTCCCCAACGGTCCACCTCGGGCTTTCCACACGCTCAACAGGGAGGAGCAGGCCAAGCATGAGAAGAAACGTCTTGCAGGTTCCTCTTTTCTTTTTGGCTCCTTATAGTAGACTTTGACTATAAGTAATGAAAATAGTGGGTTATCAGGGCTAAAGTTAGTCCTGACTTTATTTTTTTTTAAATCAGACTATTGTAAGAAGGCCTATAAAAAGACACACGTCACCAAGCTGGAGGAGCGAGTTACCACCATCTGTCAGAGGGAGAACTCCTTCTATGTGGATACTGTAAGAGCTTTCAGAGATCGCCGTTATGAATTCAAAGGACTTCACAAGGTATTGTAGCTATTTGATCAAATTATACCTGATCTGTCTCATTTATGTATTTTTTTTTTTTTATAGTTACGTGCGGTAAAGGTTTTCTTTTCGGTGCTACCTTTGCTTTAGGTGTGGAAGAAGAAACTTTCATCAGCTCAGGACAGTGGAGACGCCGCTGAGGTGAAGCGCTGCAAAAACATGGAGATCCTGTACGAATCCCTTCAGCTCGCTCACAAGTGCATCCTCAACTCTTTCTACGGCTACGTCATGAGGAAGGGGTAGGAGCCGGCCGCGGTTTTCATCAATCATCACAGATCCACTTGCGCTGTTACCTGAGCTTTTCGCTGCAGTCAGTACTGAGTGCTGTTGACTTGATGCTCTCTGTGTTTTTTTTGTTTGTTTGTTTTTTTTATGTTTCCATCAGGGCCCGATGGTACTCTATGGAGATGGCCGGCATTGTGTGTTTCACTGGAGCCAATATTATTACTCAGGCCAGAGAGCTCATTGAGCAAATAGGGTGAGTTGCATAATTCTTGCCAGCATGTTGGCTTTAATTGAGCTCACGCACTTTACAGTATATATTTTATGCTGCGGGTCAGTTTATTCAACTATAAAAATGCTGCAATAAATCTCCTTCTCTGTGACACAGGAGGCCTCTTGAGTTGGACACTGATGGTATCTGGTGTGTCCTCCCCAATACCTTCCCGGAGAACTTTGTGGTGAAGACCAGTAATGAGAAGAAGACCAAGGTGACTATCTCCTACCCGGGTGCCATGTTGAACATCATGGTAAAAGAGGGATTTACCAACGATCAGTACCACGAGCTGGTCGACCCCGCGTCCGTCACTTACAACATCAGGGCAGAGAACAGCATCTTCTTTGAGGTGGACGGACCGTATCTGGCAATGATCCTGCCAGCCTCCAAAGAGGAGGGCAAGAAGCTGAAAAAGAGGTAAGGTGATCATTTTGTGAAATGATTTGTGGCCTTCTTACAGGGTGTAATTAACAAAGGGAGTCTCCTTTCTTTTTAGGTACGCTGTGTTTAATGAGGATGGTTCTTTAGCCGAGCTGAAAGGTTTTGAAGTGAAGAGAAGAGGAGAGCTCCAGCTCATCAAGATTTTTCAGTCGTCTGTGTTCGAGGCTTTCCTCAAAGGAACTACTCTAGAGGAGGTCTACGCTTCAGTGGCCAAAGTGGCCGACTACTGGCTGGATGTACTTTACAGCAAGGTGCATATCTCTGATCAGGTTCTGATAACTAGGGTCTCCTGTATCAAGGTGTTTTTGTCATATTTCTGAATTGTATTGTTCAGCAATCGTTTATTAGAATAATTTTTATAGAAAATGCATAACAAAAAAACTCACTGGATCATTTCATGTGTGATGCAGGCTGCCAACATGCCAGACGCAGAGCTTTTTGACCTGATTTCAGAGAATCGGTCAATGTCTAGAAAGCTCGAAGATTACGGTGAGCAGAAGTCCACGTCCATCAGCACAGCTAAGAGGCTGGCAGAGTTCCTGGGGGATCAAATGGTGAAAGATGCCGGTCTGAGCTGTCGCTATGTCATCTCCCGAAAACCTGAGGGTTCCCCCGTCACAGAAAGGTTCGACAGTTGCCGCGAAAGTAAACTTATCGTACCGTACTGAATATGTTAGATGGTAAAGCAGGGAAACCTTTAGGCTGTAGCTACACTATAATTGGTAAGTTGCTACTGTGTGAGTGTGCGGTGCCTCGGTTGTCAGGTCTGGTTTAAAAAAACCAAAACAAAAATGAAAAGATGATAACGTCCACAATGCTAATATTGAGACTTCAAACTTCAAAATCTGTCACATCAGACTATTGCAGCAATACCATATTTAAAAACTAGGCTACTGATTCGATAGGTTTCCTGGTGTTACACAGCACCAAAGACTTTTCTTGAGCTCGCTTTCCCATTTTTGAATATCTTTAGGAAACTAGCGATCTCTAATATGATCAGAAGTTAAAGCCATCGGCTCATTTTTTCTTCTGTGCATCAGGGCCATTCCTCTAGCCATCTTTCAGGCCGAGCCGAGCGTCAAGAAACATTTCCTTCGCAAGTGGTTGAAGATGCCCAGCTTGCATGACATGGACATCCGCTCTGTGAGTTTTAAGGGTAAAATTAAACGCGAATAACGAAGACAAAAATGTTCAAGTACTTTCATGTCATATGGTTTTTTGGTTCTTTCTTTTTTTTTCCCCAGATCCTTGATTGGAGCTATTACATAGAGAGGTTGGGTAGTGCAATCCAGAAAATCATCACCATTCCTGCTGCTCTGCAACAGGTAAAATGTTTAAAAAAATAAATAAATAAACAGAAAACTTGAAACTAAATAATTAATTTAATTGATTAAGAAAATAATAATGGCACCTTCCACTTTTTATTTCCATAAGGTGAAGAATCCTGTTCCCAGAGTGAGGCATCCTGACTGGCTACACAAGAAACTCCTGGAGAAAAATGACATATACAAGCAGAAGAAAATTAGTGAGCTGTTTACCAGCGAGGGCAAGAGACAGGTAAGGTTAACCTCACAGTAAAGTGTCAACCACTAAGCCTTATTGTTGCACTCTAAATGTCTTCCTCTCTCTCAGATTGCCCATCAGCCTCTTGAGGCAGGCCCTGCTGCTGACATAGAGGATTTTGGGATGCCACCCAAACCCCTGCAGCCAGCTATCCTTATCAGCACTAAGCGGAAGCGGGCGTCACACGGAGACGACAGCCAGGTGGAGTCTCAGGATTTAGAGCTTACGCAGTCCTGGCGAGAGATCCTGGGACCGCCCCCTCCCACGGGAAAAACACGGGTAAGAAAGCAGAGGTTTCAGTATATTAAGCTTGAGACATTTTCATGCAATTCCAAATGCACTTGTAGTGCATTTGGAATCCAAGACGTTCCAGTGGTGAATGTTAAAAGGTTCAAACAACTTTTTCTGTGTGCAGGAGGAACGTCAAGTTTGGCTGCGCTACCATAAGAAAAAGTGGGAGCTACAGCTGAAGCAGAGAAAGGAGAGGAAAAAGAGGAGGAGGCTGCTGGATGGGGAGGCTCAACCAGTGGGCGGTGGAGTGATCAGAGGTGGTCCCATTACAGGCCTGGGGAGCTTCCTCCGCAGAACAGCTCGCAGCATCCTCGATATGCCGTGGCAAATTGTCCAGGTAGTGCAGAGCGATCCTGTTATCATCCACAAATAATTTAATAATGTAAAGATATTGATCTTCTCTATTTTTACTACTTCTTTTTTTTCTCAGATTGCAGAAACTAGTCACCCTGGTCTGTATAAGCTTTGGGCTGTGATTGGAAATGACCTCCACTGCATGAAACTCAACATCCCGCGTGTCTTCTACGTCAATCAAAAAGTCCCAAAACAGGAGGAGGGAGCGACGTACAAAAAGGCACGCTACAAAAAAATACATAAAATAATGCAATGACATCACTGTGACTATAGAAGAAGTTACCCAAAATAACTATCAGAGCTGTGTGACTACAGGTGAACCGCATGCTGCCTCGCTCCAACATGGTTTACTACCTCTATGAGTACTCTGTGCCAGAGGACATGTACCAAGAGCACATCAATGAGATCAACGCAGACCTCTCTGCACCTGACATCGAAGGAGTCTATGAAACACAGGTCAGTGTAATTTTTTTACACTGCATAGTGTCCGTGTTATAACTGTATAGTACTGGAAACAGAACGCAGCGAGTCGTTTGTTTCAGGTTCCTTTGCTGTTTCGAGCTTTGGTGCAGCTAGGATGCGTGTGCATGGTCAACAAACATGTTGTGAGAGATATGGCCGGAAGGGAGGCCGACACGTTTGATCTGGAACATCTGGAGATGAGGTCGCTGGCCCAGTTTAGCTACCTGGAACCTGGTAAGAGTCATTCAGACACTTTAGATTTAAAAGTTTTGACAGCAGACTTTTGATGGTCATAAATGTCCCAATTTAATATTTACTTTTTTTGAATATTTAGGTTGACCTAAATTATGACTTTTCCCTTTAGTGAAAAAGAAAACCGTTTCACTGCAACTACTTGTGAATTTTGATCTGCAACTACTATGTTTGCTTCTCAGGGAGTGTTCGCCACATGTATTTGTATCATCACAGCCAAGGCCACAAGGCTCTGTTTGGCCTCTTCATCCCCTCTCAGCGCAAAGCTAGCATCTTCGTCCTGGACACGGTAAGAATAATGGGCTTTCTTTGAGTTTCCTCTTTGTTTTAGTACCAGAGAAGAAGTCTGTTTTCCTCTCAGTACCATCATGACATTTAATTGCATTGAGAATAAAGCTCAGTTGTTGGCTTGCGTTTTTTAGGTTCGAAGCAACCAGATGCCCAACTTGAGTAACCTCTACACAGCTGAACGCACGGCCCTCCTGGAGAAAACGACGGAGGAGCTTCTGCCTCCGGAGAAACACAACTTTGAGGTGCGGGCTGAAAATGACATGAAGGCGATCTCACGTGCACTCCAACGAATACTCCTAAACTACAAGGTAAAATAATCTGGTTATATTTAACATTTTTATTACTTTTTAATCTTTAAGTTTCATGCGACTAAATTTGCAAATGCCTGCTGTGTTTGTTGCTGTTGACAGGAGGAGCGCCGTGGGCCCACCCTCATCGCAGTGCAGTCAAACTGGGAGTTGCGTCGATTGACGGCCGGGATGCCGGTGCTCGAGGAGTTCCCGGTCGTTCCAGTTCATGTGGTTGATGAGATCAGCTATAATGTGTTGGACTGGCAACGGCTCGGTGCCCGGCGCATGATCCGCCACTACCTCAACCTGGACAGCTGTCTGTCACAGGCTTTTGACATGGCCAGGTATGATCTGCATGTTTCTGCTGAGTTTCGCTTCACACATAAGGTTGTTCCAGATGGAGAGGAAGATTTTTTTTTTTTTGTAAGAGGACACTATAAACGTCTTACATGCTAACTTTGTGGTTGTAGCCTCTAATAAAAGATTTATCCAGGCAGCAGGAATTGTTGTAAAACATTTTCAAGCACTTTTGAATTGTTCTTTTACTTTCAGATATTACCACTTACCTGTGGGGAACTTGCCACAGGATGTGTCCATCTTTGGCTCAGACTTGTTTTTGGCAAGACATCTACGGAAGCACAACCACCTGCTATGGCTTTCACCCACATCCAGGCCTGACCTGGGAGGAAAAGAGGCTGATGACAGCCGTCTGGTGATGGAAAATGATGACAGAGGCTCTGTGGAGATCAATGCTCAGGGATGTTATTCAACAGGTACAAAAAAAAAAGGAAGAAAAAGGAAATCACTAGAGGGATTTTTGAAGTCTGTCTTAATCATCATCTTTCGTGCAGCATGTGTGGAGTTGGACCTGCAGAGCCTGGCGGTGAACACCATCCTCCAGTCTCAGCATGTCAACGACATGGAGGGCGGAGCCAGCCTGGGCGTCAGTTTTGATGTGATCCAGCAGGCATCTTTGGAGGACATGATGTCAGGAAACCAGGGAGCAAGCGCTCTGGCTAGCTACGATGAGACAGCTCTCTGCTCCAACACCTTCAGGTGTGTAAACTTCTGTGTTTGAGCGCAGGTTTTGTGTTTTGTGTTTTGCTCAAACCACAATTTTCATTGATTAATTTTTCTGGGTTCTCTGAGCAGGATCTTAAAGAGCATGGTGGTGGGATGGGTCAGGGAGATCACACAGTACCACAATGTGTATGCAGACAACCAGGTGATGCATTTCTACCGCTGGCTGCGCTCCCCCAGCTCGCTGCTGTATGACCCCGCCCTGCACCGCACCCTGCATAACATGATGAAGAAAGTGTTTCTGCAGTGAGTGCCAAATCCTTTATACTTCAAAAATCTGAAAGCTTTCTTTTGAAATAATGGTAAACTCTACATCAGTAGGACTTCACCACTAAGAGGAAGCCCTGGTATTTTTAGGTTGTTGCTGTTGGTGTTGTTTGTGTTTTTGTTTTTTACATTTTAAACGTAAAACTTTATTAGAAAATTTGACGATGTGAACTCTGATTCATAATAATGCTGTCAGCTTCCATTTATCCAGACCTCATTCTCGCATTCTGGCCTTAGGTTGGTTGCAGAGTTCAAACGTCTCGGCTCGACTGTGGTGTACGGAAACTTTAACAGGATCATTCTGTGTACTAAAAAACGCAGGATTGATGATGCCATTGGCTATGTTGAGTATATCACCAACAGGTCAGTGTTTTTTAAATTCTCCAGTCTGATCTGGGATGACCAGAGTTTTAGTTTTCACATGTTTTTATTTTCGAAATCAGAATGAATCCCAGTGAGAAATTATTTTGTTTCAATACACAAATTTTGTTTATAAAACAATATATACAATTGAGGCCCTAAAAGTGCCATGTTAAATTTAAATTAAATATTCTAAAGTTAAAACAGTACTTTAACTGTATAGACAAGATGTAAGTGAAAATAGTCCAAGTGTCAATACACTTAATTAGAACATTTAATGGCAACAGGTAAGAATTATGTCTTTATTTGCAACCTCGCAGAATAAACTCTAGCTGTAACATTAGTGCATCACATCACTGGAAATCGAATGTATTTTCTTGATGATGCAGAAAATGTAATTATGTTACATTTGATCTTAATCTGCCGCTAAGTTTGTTTGATTTTTAGCTGATAGAAAACTGATAATAAAATTGATCGGTTCCATTTTTGTAGGCTGTTAACATCATTTATCAATAAAATTCATTCCCTCTGATTGGATCACAAACTAAAGTGATTTTGCACGTCTCCTTTAGTAAACTACTGGAGAAAATCAGATCCAATCAGATGTAAAAATGCATGCATGTGTTCACAGCTGTTGGCTATTTTGACATATTAACAATAGTATATTAGTAAAATGATGCATGATGCAAAGCAAGAGCCAGAACACTAAAATCAGAAAAACAAAAATAATCCATTAGAAGAGCGAGACGGCAGGGATTGTTGTGGTTTCCATCAGCTGAAGTGATTTCTGTAAATTAAACCCAAAATGGGAGAACTGCCCATTAAATGAATGGATGTGATATTTAAATATTGACTTTATGACAAAATATGAATATAAAATCAATATTGCTACTCAGAGATGCATACCTCCTGGGATTTTGGTTCTTGAAATATTGTTGTGGTTTTTTCCCTGGTTTTCTGAAAGTATGTGACTAAAATAAGCACCAATACCTTTTAAATGTTTGACTTTTATTGTTTACAACTTTTGAAAGTCTAATTTCCTGTTTCCAGTCTTTTACGTGTAACCACAACATCTCACATTTCTAACCGTTTCTCTTCTAGCATCCATTCCAAAGAAATTTTCCACTCTTTGTCCATCTCCTTCTCGCGGTGCTGGGAGTTCCTGCTGTGGATGGACCCTGCCAACTATGGTGGCGTGAAGGGCAAACTGCCCTCCAGCGTCATGTATGGAGAGGTACTGCCAGATGCTGGAGGTTTCTTCCTGTTAAAAGCGAGCTTTTTCTTCCCACTGTCGCCAAGTGCTTGCTCATACAGGGATGTCTGATTGCTGGGGGTTTGGGGGTCTTTATCTTACAAACTAAAGCACCTTGAGGCGACTCTTTTTGCGATTAGGCCCTGAACTGAATCCATCTCCAATGTTGTTGTTTTGTTTTTGTTTTTTTGAAGGAAGGAGCCCAACAGAAGAAAACCAGACAAGAGGAGGGGGATGAGGATGGCAGTGAGGATGAAGATGAAGAAAATGCTGAGGAGGAGGACGGAGATGGAGAAACGGATGAAGTAGAGGATTTGATTGAGAGTAACTGGAATATCATGCAGTATCTTCCTCAAACCGCCTCCTGTCAGAAGTACTTCCTCATGATCGTCTCAGGTAAAAGAAGGAAAATCTCCCAACATTTTTTTCTTTGCTTTCCAAGTTACTAACTCTCAAAACACCTTTACCTTGCCAGCGTACATTGCAGCGGTCTATCACAGTATGAAAGAGGAGCTGAGACGTAACGGCCCAGGAGCAACGCCAGTAAAGAGACGTGGCAACAGCCAGGCTTCCCAGCAGGCAATTGGGGATCTGAGTGCACTTCCTGGTAAGAAGCTGATCAGGAAGCTGTTGTATGTGCTAAAGACTTCTGTTGTATTTCTCTGGGACTGCAGATTACGCTCAGCCGAGTGTTTAATGTTTACGGCTTTAAAAATTCTCTTCCACAGGAATGATCTCCTTCTCCCAGGAGTACGTGTCCAGCGAGCTGACACAGAACATTTTCACCATCACTCAGAAAATCCAGAAGAAGGTCACTGGTACCAGGAATGTTACCCACACCTCAGAGATGTTCCCCATCCTGCCTGGGTCACACCTTCCACTCAACAACCCAGCACTGGAGTTTATCAAATATGTCTGCCAGGTTAAAAAAAAGAAAAGAAATCTGCTCCTTTTTTTTTTTTTTTTTTCTGCAGCGGTTATTTATATTTCCCCATCCCTCCCTTGTTTAGGTTCTTTCACTAGACGCCAACATTGTAAATCAGGTGAACAAGCTGAAGAGAGACCTCCTACGTCTTGTGGATGTTGGAGAGTTTTCAGAGGAAGCCCAGTTCCGTGACCCGTGTAACTCCTACATCCTGCCAGAGGTTATCTGTCACCACTGCAATTTCTGTCGGGACCTTGACCTCTGCAAGGACCCGTCAGTGGCACAGGTAAGAGTACAATAACTCCTGATAATCACATTTCGAACCTGTGAAAGTCAGAAATCTAAATGAGATAAACTTGTTATCTTTTCCTCAGGATGGTTCAGTTTTGCCTCAGTGGTTCTGCTCCAACTGTCAGGCGCAGTATGACACCGAGTCTATTGAGATGGCTCTGGTAGAAGCTCTGCAGAAGAAACTGATGAGCTATACGCTGCAGGATCTGGTGGGTAAAATAATGCTCAGTATATCAAAACACCTGGCAAAATTTAAGCAATGAAATGATAAAAAAAATGCACTCACTACTTCTGGTTGTTTGTTTGTTTGTTTTTCTTAAAAAAGCAAAGTTTTCCTGGCAGTAAAATCTAACTTGCATGCTTTTTGACAGCCCATTTTCCAGAAGGTGCCTCACAGGTTTTGTTCAATTTCAGGTGTGTAGCAAATGTAAGGGAGTGAAGGAAACCAACATGACCCTCTACTGCAAATGTGCTGGAGACTTTGACCTCACCTTCCCAGCCAAGGTTCGTACTTTGAAGCACACGGCACCATTCTGTTCAGCGTTGAACGCATATTATTGACACTGCTGTTTTTGGTCTGTTTACAGAGCTTCTCTGAGCAGATCATGGTGTTTAGGAACATAGCATCCCACTACAACATGAGCTTCCTGGAGGAGACCATAGGCTGGCTGCTCGTTATGAGCCCTCAGATCAACCAGGGTGTTCACTGAATATGAGCTTCACTGACACTTCCTTCACTCCATTCAAATCAGGAAACAGAGTGCTGAAATTCATTTTTGAGTTTTAGCAAACTTCAGCAGCATCGGTCTCTGCTTCTTGCTGTGTGATTGTGTAACCAAGATGATTCCCCTGTAAATATGTTTAGATTGTAGTAGTTATGCATGTGTATGAAGATTTTCACTGGTAATAAATGTGTTTTTCATGTGTCTTGGTCTGCTTGTGATTGCTGCAGTTCTGTATTTTTCCTAAATTACATCTACTCTGTCGTTACGCTGTCTCAGTTTTCTCCTCCCTCCCTCAGCTGCTAATGTGTCTGCTGTAAATTGCGCACAGCTTCAATTACATGACCTGCATCCACTCTAATTTCTTCTGCTGTGAAAAGTGACTAATGTTGCCTCATTGCATGTTGCGTAATCTTTCATTGTTTCTTTGGTTTGGCGACAGTGAAGAAGACTTTGACAAATCTAACTTCCTTTTTTTATTGAGCAAATTTGAACCTTGCAGACTGAAAAAGATGAATTTCTGGCTGGTTGGAAATTGTTTTTTTTTTTTGTCGTTATCCCATATGGGAAATATGTATCTGGTAGTGAACGTTATGTATGTCTGCTTTAGAATTGCCTTAATCCACACATCCCCTTCACTTTAAGTTCACTGTTTCACAGATGACTCACGTTACTTCCTGGTGGGCGTCTCCCAGACAAGTAATCACATTTCAGACTTAACTGCTGTACAATCAGATTCACTTCTTTGAGGTTCTCATAGACATGCTCTGCATGTATGTTGATAAAATGAAATGATGAGAGCAGTTTTGTGCTCTTACATGACTTATTTGCATCAGGATCTCAGCAAATGTTACATTTAGTATGGTTTGTCAGACAAATTACAAAAAGCTATTTAAGCTGTATGCTGTGAATCTTCACAATTTTTTTTATATGGTGCGAGTACAGTTTCCAAAATGAAGTGACTTTCTGCCAACCTTCATAGCAGATATTGATCATTCAACTTGAGTCTTAAATTTTTGTGGGTTTTTTGTTGTTTTAAACCACTGACATCTGTATTGCTCCTTGGCAACCAGATGGATTCACACTTCCCCACAATCTTGTTACAGGAACCATTTTATGGGAAATGTCTGCATTATTCGATTACTGTTCATTGCCCTCCTTGTGTTTCTCCTGGTAGTTTCCTCCTGTGTGCTGAGCACATCAGACTGAAAGAAGGAAATGAATCAGAGCCTTCAGATGCTTCAGTTTTATCTTTGTCACAATTTCATGATTTTGTTTTTCCTTTTGAAAAAGTCCCACCAGTCTTTATGCTTGAACCAAGTTAAAGGTTATTTATTGTTGGATTGAATGTCTACAATACATCGACATATGCTGTATGGTTTTTATTTTTTGGTAGCACTTTAGAATAATGCCATACTATCAAACATTATTAAGGTATTAGCAAGTGCCCAAATTCATCATTTATATAGCATTACTCTTCCTTAGTATGGCCTTTATAAATACTGATATATTATTATGACTATGATTATTACTAGCAGTGATGTGGTAGCAGTGATAGCTGTGCATGATGGATAAACATCTGTATTTATAAACGGCATACTAAGGAGAAGTAATGACATACAAATGATGAATTAAGCACTTACTAATGTTTCCTAGTGTGGCGTTGTTATAAAGTGCGGCCAGTCTTTTTCTCATGACAGTGTACTGAAATGGTTTCCTGTTTTCAAAATAAACACATTCTCTATATGCTGTTAATATATTCTGAGGTCGTGTCAAGTTAAAGAGAACTAACTGTCTTATGCAAAGATTTCCACAGGGATCTCTTTCTTTTGCCCGTTTTTATCCCCACTAACATCAGCACAGTGTCAAAGTGAGCTGTCACTGACACCTGAGATGCAGTTGCTGTTTGCCACAGTTGGTGGTGGGGAGTCCATGCACTTGGCCAGCGAGGACTTTGGTCACAGTGGTACGCCGTCTGACAGGTCAGAATGGTTTGAGCCGAAGCTGTTGATGTAGCTGAGCTCTGTGGGTATGGGATTTGTGGGCTCCTTGATCACCTGTGAAAGGCAGAAGATGTTATTAGACAAACATATCTCACAAAATAGTCCCTAAAAATAAGAAAACAGTCACCAAAACACAGCTATACAGTTGTATGATTTGTGCCTGGAGCAAAGTAATGAAGCCAGTGAGCTTCACAACGTGTGTTAGAGTCTCATGGTTATTGTCCACAAAATGACAAACGTAGCCCTGACTTTGACCACAGTTAAAGTGAAGACCCATTAGCTGACCATTAAGTCTATGCTTGATTAAATCTTGAACAATATTGTAGGAGCAGCGATTCTTGTGAATTGTGAAAAGATAGACAACAGACGCCTCCCCATGACCTCAGCTCATCAGTCCTTCAGGCTGATGAGCTAATAATTGACAGCATTCTCCACAAGACCTGGAGACAAACTAGATTTCTTCTCTGGATGGACGATTTCATTCTATTTATAAAAGTCTTCTACTGGATATAGAAGCAGATTCACAAAAACAAATGAAACTGAGTTGCGTTTAATGAATAACGCTCTCTTTTTTTTACTCACTTCATCAAACTTTCTCTCACTGTAGACTTCATTCTTGTCGATAAATGTCAGCATGATCCAGTCGCAGATTATTGTGCACTACGGAGAGGGGAGATGAAGCAGAATAACAGTTACACTAATTGAACGGTGCCGCTTTAATGTCTCAGGATAAAAACAAATTAGTCAATACTCACAATCCCAACAGAAGTCATAGCAGTCACTGTGCTGATGATGGTTGGAATAGGACTAAATTTACCAGCCTGCACAAAAATGACACACAGTTGTTATGGAGTTGTACATCTAGATAGATAGATTTTTTTCTTTGTTCCCACACTCAGTAGACTGAAGCACTTGTTTATAGGGGGTCCTCTGATTGTTGCGGTGTTCCCTGTATTATTGTAGAGTCTTTAGCTTACAGCACGTTGAGGTGACTGTTGTTGTGATTTGGCACAAATTGAATTGAAATATTGGGGGAAAAAATCGTAGAAAATTGAAAATGTTTGTAATACTAAAGAGTTAATTCCTAATAAACAAAAAAAAACATAACATAAAAAAATATATTTTGATAGATACAACAATAAGCAGGTCTAAAGTAGAATCTACTCACATGTCCATGAACTATGATGTCTAGACGGATACCAAAGGCCTTGATTAGTGTCCGAGTTTCTTCCCCATCCTTACTGTAATATTTGGCAAACCTGTGGAATTACACATAAGTTATTACAACAAGAAAAAAAAAACAGGTGAGCACAGCAGAAGAGCGTTTTAAAGACTGTTTTAAAAATAAAGTATAAAAGTCAGCATTGGACGCCGGTGCTAACCTGTAATAATAACCAGCGTCGGGCAGATCCTTTCGGAGGTCAAGGCGACGGAACGAGTATGTGGGTTTACAGTGTGAGGGATCCAGATCCAAGTTACACTTCCAGTTGATGAAAACACCGATCACTCCTCCCTGAACTCAGACAGCATGACAGTAGTCATTTTTAACCCTCGTGGGTGCCATTCTTAAGACATCATGTAAACAGCAATAGACCAGGAGAAGAATATAAAGTATTCAAACTTTATCAGTAACACAAATGAAATACGTGCCTGAGTACTTTCTGGGCAAATCCTAAAATTAATCTTGGGAAAATTCAAACACCAAGACACCAATCAGATTAGAATTAACTAATGAGAAATTTGGATAGAGACGGCACAAACCATAATGATATTACCACGTAAGAATCTGCAAAACTATAAAATAAGTTTCATATTTACTGAAGTGTTACAATAGCTGATTTGGGACAAATCGCAAGAATGGCCTTTCTGTCTAAGTTTTATATGTCTATTTTATGTCTATATGAATTTTATTTATAGAGACATAAATTTATTCTAATTTCTATTGTAATTCTAAGATTTGTTCTAATTTTAGATTGCTGACTGGGGGTTGATGTTGATCCACACATTTTTAAATGAGAAACACTCTCCACAAATGAAATATTGTGAACACTATGCAGTGCAGGCATCATACTCACGGTGTTGCAGAGCTCACTAAAATTCTCCCTCGCTTGTGCTGCGATGTATCCCAAGCGGAAGATGGGACAGTAGGGGTCACGCTCCTCATCATAGTGACACTTATTCAGGTATCTCTTAATGTCTCGCTTGTTTCGGGCATCCTTAATGTTTCCCCTGCCAAAAACAAGAACATCAGTATCTGCAGCTTAAATGTCCAGAAGTATTAACTTCTATGTGACCCTACCTCAGCACTTTAAATTTGGGGAAGTGGATAGAGTTCCTGATGAACACTGTGAAATTGATGGCCTCCTCTAATGGTGGTTCTCTGTTGAAGACAGCAAATATTTAACATTTCCTTAAAGTGACCTTGAAGTGGTTCTTGCATCTGGTTCAGGTTACACAATTTGTTTGACTGGTTTGGTCATCATTTGGTCAAAGTAGTGACCAAGCAACTGATAATATCTTGTCTCCAAGGAAGCACAGTCGATCTGTTTTCTCACATAGAGAAGGTTCTTGGTTCTTCCAAAAAGCCCAAAATATGTGAACTTTATTGTGTTTTACTCATGTGGATGTGTCTTGATGACTAGTTTTTTTTCCAAGCTGTATTTAATGATGACTTAATATTTAATGCTTTACTAATTTTTCTGCTTTGCCACCTGTCTTTTTGTCAAAATCATGCATCAAGCCAAATCTCTTGTAAATTTTACTTTTCACTCTTGCTGCTATCATAGTCACAAATCACCTCTGACACCCTCCACCCTGCCTGCACTCTCCTCTTCGCCTCTCTTGTGCACTGTGGATTTAAATGTTTTTAAACAGGTTTTTAAACTCATCTTACTTCACTACCCTCTCCTCCTTGCAGCTTCACTGTAACATCTGTTTCCCTCATTTACACACGCATTCTGTTTGCTTCCACTGACTTTAATATCTTTTGTCTCCAGAGCATACCTCCACCTCTTCAGGCTCTTTTCCACCTGCTGCCTACTCTGAGCGCAGATCACAATGCCTTCTGTGAACATTACAGTCCACAGAGACTCGTGCCTGACCCTATCTGTCGGCCTGTCCACCACTGCAAACAAGAAAGGGCTCAGAGCCAATCCCTGATGTAATCCCACCTCCACTTTAAAAACATCTGTCACTCCTATCACACAACTCATCCTACATATTCTTCACCGGCCTCTCAATTCCTGAAGACTACTAAAAGAAATTACAAGAAAGCTTGGCTGAGTGTGTTCAGTAAATATTGACTTTCAAGCTTGTTAGGACTGTACCATTTTGTTTTTGCCTTCATTTCCATGTATGTTTGCACATGTTTTAATAAATCGCTGCACCAATTCGTATTTTATTTCATGTTAGTTTCCCATGTTTTTGGATATTTAGGCTCAGTTTGAGTCTGTTTAGAACTTATATGGATTTTTAGAGCAATGCATATATACCTGACATGATGCTGATGATTCTGTAGCACCCATCTTACCGTACTACAGCGTATTCCTCAATCGGACACCAGCTTTGTATCTCACAGGTTTTAAAGGTGTGGTTGTAGTACTGAACACATCTGCCCGTCCTTCTGCCTGTAGGAAAGTGTTTGAAACAAAGGGTGGCAAATGCAAACCAAAAAAGGCATGAAGAAAAATTAGATGAGAAGTGAAAACATTACCGTGGCCACTGAAGTTGACTTCCCCTTCAACGCAG